TCAAATATCAGACACATCCACAAGCTATTTATACAAGTCGATTTTTGAATCTTTCCAAACTCCCTAAACCAGGTAATGACATTTATTCATATTTGTAAAAAATTAATAATATATTATCAATTGTAAAAATTTCTGAATCTGTCAATATAGTAAATGCAGGTAATGATATTTATTTCTTAAATTGAACTCAAACTGTAGTTTTAGTATATTTATATGTATATATATTAGAAAGTCGACCCAGTCAACGCATTGAAGTTCCCGACGGTAAGTAATATTTGGTTTACTTATAAATAACCAAATTTATTGCTTATTTTTTATATTTGCATTTAGATTTTTAAATCAAGTAAAAGGAGGTTATAAATTGGAAGCATTCTATTTATTATTGACATGCTAAGCAATTGTTATATATCTTCATGTTATGTACGTGTCTAAAGAGAAAAAAGATATTGAAATAATAAATATTAAAATTACCATTTACTGTTGGTGGTAGCCTTGTTATTTTAAATGATGTACAGTCCACCCTCGTTAATATCAACCTCGTTAATACCAACCTAAGCTATAAGATGAATATTTACCCTCATATATATCAACTTTAATATAATCCCTTGTTAATATCACTATCAACATGAATTTAAACCAATTCAAATAGGTTGGTATAAACGAGGGTAGACTGTATTATAAATTTTTTAAAGAAAGTTTTAAAATTAAATCTAAGTATTAAGGCTCTGGACCTCAGCAGTTCCTGTTTCCTAGTATAACCAAAATCAAAATTATATTTTATCTCGAAACTAACATAAGATGATATCTAGTTATAAAATGAAAATTAGTCCCTTTACATTTTCTAAATGAAAATTTTGATACCAATTAGCCATTATCAAGAGACTATATTAAAATATGTAAAAGAAAAAAATCAACATCTAAGAAATGATTGAGTTCAAACGTATCTTGAAAACTTAGATCTTTAATCTTTAAATGGATTATGACAATTCAATCTATATTCAATTAAATGTTAAATATGTAGCAAAGAATCTTAGCATTAAATTTATATAGATAATAACGTGAGTGCCAACCAATCAAATTTCGAGGTTGATTTCGTCGATAGTCTCAAACCGCCATTTTCAGAGTGAGATACTTCAAAGGTTTTTGGCGTAAAAGGAAAAAAACATAGATAGTATAAAAATATGAAATAACAAAATTTTTTTGTTATAATAAAGAATACTAATTATATTGTAAGATACAAATATTAATTTAGAAGTGAAAGCTGTTTTTTTTTTTACAAAACAAAGATCGATATAAATTTTATAAGTGCTGAAATTTTGACATTACACTTGACCGGTATTTCGTCATATAAAATAAATATCCAATCAAACCGAATTCTCATAATGCTGGCATGGGCACAAGGACAGTGAAAAATATCCAATTATATCGAATTACAGTATATATGTTGTAGGTGGATTCGGAACTCTGTGAATTCGGAATCCACTTAAGTGGATTTTGAGTCTTATATAATTCTCTATTTTTGCATTAATACTATGCGAATGACACACCAAAAAATTAGGATGAAAATTTATTTTTGTATTTATCCTTACAACTATTTTTTGTGCCAGTTATAATGGAAATAGACTGCACGATTAAAAGAACCTAGCACGTATTAATTCCGACTCATTACATTTTTAGCAACAATGATTAATTGAATATTTGGATTCGTTTCAACCCCCGTAGCTAAAAGAATTTTAAATTCATTATCTGTCTTTTAGAACTCCCAAATTTGTATTAGTAAGGTCACAATAATAAAATCATAATCAGATCGTGAAATAAAGGCTTTACGATATCTAGCAAGTGACTCCATTAAAAAACTTGTCTTGAAATAAAAGAATTTTCTTGATCTGAAATTTTAATTTGGAAACTTTCGTGAAATATACTACAATTGGTTTAAATACATATAATTTATGATTACACAGTGACTCTCGGTATAACGGATTCTCAATATAACAGAGACTAAGTAAATCTTAATACGTATAATGGATCAAAGTTCAGATCATCACCATAATAAATTCTTCTCGATATAAGGAAATTACTAAAAATCACTAATAAACTCACAATATTGCGGATTTTAGTCAAACAATGTTATATTAAGAGTAACTGTATATTAATATTCGACTCTTAAATGATCTTTTTAAGATCTGGAATCGACTTAAGTTGTTTCTGGATTTTCGAATCCAAATCAGAGTGCACGATCAGATATAATGTGGTCGAAATTTTTTGTTTACATATTCTCTTTTATTATACGCACTTACAGAATAATAACGATAAGAAACATAATAAATTTCTTTAAAACTTAAAATGCTAATACATAAACCATATCCGTAACATAATAATGAATGTTGTTAAACTTTTAAATCAAAAAATTGATTTTTATAATACGTACAGTTATATTTTTAAATTTAGTTTTCTTAATTTCAGCCAGTACTATTATAACTCTGGCTAAAATTATATATGATAAGATTAATGATACGTGGATGTTACACATGAGGATTTGCAAATTCAAAAATGTCGATATACAGTATTAAATTTTAGTTTTTAGTCCATTCGCGTCCTTTTTTACAACATGTCAAGAATTGCTAATAAAAAAAAAAAAAGAAATAGAACATTAAGAGGAGATAGTTCAGGAGATGAATCTGACAGAGAAATATATAGTTTGGATGCTGGTAAGAGTTACCTCAAATACATTTTAATAAAAGACGCGTGTATTAATATTTTTCATTCAGATATTTTAATAAACAAGGCGTTTACATTATATCGTTGCACGCCGTTTTACAAGTTTGAACTTTCTAAATTGCACCAATACGCGAAAGAAATCAAAAAATTTATTGAAGGACAAATGACTGGAATTCTTCCTTTTGATAGTTCATTAGATGAATTCGAAAATATTAATATGTTGAAGGAAGGAAAAGTGACGGATGTAGTTATTTCAAGAATTAAAATACCAGAGTGGAACGGTATATTTTATCTTTTTTAAGCATGAAGCAAATTTACGACCTCTGACATGACAAATTTCATTATTAAAAGTATTGCTACATTATTTCATATCTAGTTTCAAACAAATTGCCAATAGGAATAGAGATACAATTCAGATCTAAAAGTATATAATTATTTATCAATGCAAAATCAGATTTTCTTGATTAAAAATACTAAAGTTATTTGATTAAGAATCGTCAACAGAACAAAAATTTCATATAGTACTATTTCCAAGCATTAGGCATGGTGATGATACAAAGAACAGTCGTAAGTTATCAATCTTTTCGAGACAACTATCAGCATAAAAGTATTACATATAAACTAAAATGATTTGATCTTAATTTCAGCATCATTCAGTCATTATCCTCTCATTATTATTAAAGCTCCACAACGAATCACAACGATTTTTATCGAATGGATTCAAAGGCAGTTTGACTGTAGAATTTGTCGACATCATTTGTTATCTTCCAACCTAAAAGGGATTATTGAAGAGTGGGCAAATTTTGTGTTTAGCCAAGGAAAATTTTTATGATTTTATTATAATTATCGTTAGTTGATCTTTTTGTTAATATTTCAATACAAATTATACAGATTTACCCAGTTCTCCATCTGTATCAAAACAAACTGAGCTTACATACTCGATTCCAAATATTTCTGAAATAAAAAATATCACGTTAAGGATATCATTTGAAGATATAAAACGTCTCTATGACAGGTATTATCTATCATTATACTTTATCAAGTGTTGCTTTGTTTACGAATTTTTTCTAAATATAAATTTTATTATTGAAGAATAATTCAAAAAGATACTGAACGTAAGTACTCACACTAATATTAGGACTGTAATACGCCAATTATAATTAATCAATTCTTGGAATCTGTATAGACTCAGAAACATTAAGCATAATGGAAGGAATTGAGAACCATTTTTTCCACTGTTTACGTATCAAGTTTACATCTTTAACTCTTTCCAAGATCTCAACCAATGTGGGCCACATTACGTGTGATGGAAAATTGAAGGTAACTATGAAATATTTTAAATTTTCAGACATGACCTTTAATATATTACTAATCACGATATTTCTAAATTTATTAGCTATTTAAAGTTTTTAATTCCCACTTGACCGCATCTTTTTTAGAAAAGTTGGTGATTACTGCGCAATAGTTAGACTTTATAGTTAGACTTTATACTTTTTCTAAGCTTTATTCAAACTTTGTTCAGATACGAAATATTAGAACTAGCAATATTTTTCAATGTTATACATGAAAGTATAAAATTATGAATTTGGATCTGCTTATGTCGTTTTCCTTATGAGATTAGGACCTGGAAACCATGGAATTAACATACTAGTAGTCTTCTGATATTCTTTATACATTGGATATTTCTTCTTCGAGATATCCTCGGTAAAAATGGTGGATGCATACATTAAAATTGTCAAATTCATGACGCCAATTATAGACCAATTGAGAATCCATTCTTTGCCACCGGCAGCAATTGAAAAAATATAGAATGTCCACCAAAGTCCAATTTCACAAAAATAATTTGGGTGCCTTGTCAAATATTTAATAAATAATTAAAATAGTGTTCATTATTTAAGAATTTTCGTTAAGAGTAGACTAATACATACCTAGAATAACGAAATAGTCCATTACATAAAAAGCCTAATGAATAATTACTCTCAAGTATTATAGGTATTTTTTTAGAACTACTGGCGGCAATCACTTTTCGTTTTTCCGTTTGAAAATACCATTGCTGTTCATCAGCGATATATTCACCAACCCAAAATCCTAAAAATAATATACAGCACACCAGATCCAAAATATTCAAAGGTGCATCATCACCAATAGACCAGACTAAGTAGGCCGGGGCTGATAATAACATCAGCAAAATGTTTTGATAAAATGAAATAAAAACAACATTAAATATTTCAAACGCTATCCAATGCATTTTCTGTTGAATTATTGGCCATCTAAAATACGCGTAAATAAAATAAATTTTTAGGTGAACGACAGTTATGAGATTTCACGTTTTTGATTTTTGCTGATTTTACGATTGAATATTACAGCATTAGACGCACCTGTAGTCCTCACCGTTCCAACTGTAACCACCTTTACGCATAAAGTTATAAGAAAGACGCACACCCCACAACGTTGCCAAAATGCCCATGATAACACCACGTACATTTAGGCATTCAAGATTACATGCAGATAAATCTTTGAAACAGTCGTAAAGAACAAAATGCCAAGTATAAATCACCGGTAAGATAGTCCAAAGCCTATCAACCTAATAATTTAGAAAATAACATGTTCAAAAAATTCAAGAGAATTATTAGGGACGTGTCAGATATTAGCTGAGACTATAGAGCCCCTCCCTACTGAGAAATTTAGTGATTGGTTATTTAACCTGAGATTTGTCTACCTCCCTCCTACCCTACGATATCAGCTGATATCTGACACTCCCTTATTGTTCATAATTAAAGCCATACAAAAATAATTTCTTAGTTTCATGACCTGGCAACCTAACTTTTAGTTTAAATTTTATAATTAAAAAACATGAAAAATTTTTTTAAAAATTTGCCCTAGAAATTATAAATAAAAAATATTGTAAACCAAAAAATTAGTTCAGTATGGCCCTATGATTGCAGTCATACCTGTGAATAGTTTCGTGTAATTACACTTAGTAACCAAACGAGTAAAGCTATGAACAAACTTGCCATTACTGCTGTGAAGAAAGGGTCACTACAGGCGTAAAAATTGCGCGTCAGCAACGGTATGTTGCTCCAAGTTTCGCTTTTAAAGTCAACTTCCCATTTACAATTCGTGACATTATAAAATTCAAGTAGTGACATGATACCAACAGAATCAAAATACTGAAAATACGCGTGCAACATAATCTAGTTAATTTTGTAGTCAAAAAACACGTGAATATAATACAGAAATATAGCCCAATGATTTTTCGATTTTTGTCGATCCAACCAAAAAATTGATTTAATTCTGGTCAAATTTGTGCCCATATATGCTCGGACTGCATAACGTGACATTCAATGTTTACCAATAAAATTATAAATAATCTTATAAAGTAAATGATTTATAGTTAAGGTTCTAATAAACAACCTTCACAAATTTTTATGCTTGATATAGCAGTGGTTCAGTAATTAGGATATGAATCCTTGAATAAATTCTAATAAACATATCATAATCATTTATTTAAAATATTTTGATTGGATAAAAATTTTTTTAATAAATTTTTTTTTTTATTTCGTATGGGCGGATTTTTTTTGATTTGAGTGATGATTAAGAAATAATAATAATAGTTCATAAAATTTAATCCAATCGTTTATGTGATATTGCGTATTGTCGGGTTTAAAATACAAAAATATAATAAAAAATTAATATTTGATTTGCTGATTAATTTGATTAATTTTTTTTTGTTATGAAATGCTTATGAAACCGTTATGAAACCGTTTTATAAAAAACATGATAAAATTAACATGATAAAATTAAATCATATAATTATTTGAATGGTACATTGCATCCTCGCTTACTAATATTTTTGGTACAGTATAATGCCGCATTTTCGTTGTTTAAAGATAGCAAATCCATAACTTATTTTATATGTAATTCTATTGTATCACTTAATTTTTAATTATCATAATATTCCATCAAAAATTTTCGCCCATGCGTTTTAATTCCAATTTTACTATTCTTAATAATTTTAAATATACATATCTTCGATATTTGAAGATTTTTTAAAAAAATTTAACCGATAAACTTGAGAAAGCTAAAAATTATTTTTAAATTTGATGAGAAGTAACTCGGGGCACCATAATATTAATTACGTAAATTATTATTTAAATCTTTGACTGTCCTTATACATAAATAAAGTTTACCAATAAATAATAAATTCAAAACATATCGGCGAATTTGGGAAATTACTATGAAAATCCTCAAATATTTGACAAAGAGTAACTTGTGACCTACTGGTCTATTTTAGATGTT